GAGCATCTGAAGGGCTGAGGATGGGACTCATGGAAACATCCACCTCACCTGTAACTCACACAGGTACACGGGAGAGCTTGTAAATGAGTGGGTTTGTCTGAAACTTGGTAGGAGAGGGGGAAAAAAAAACAACATGAAAGGAATAATTTAACAGCTGCAACGAGCCTCAGTGGTTGCACAGGAAAATCCCCTGTCACCCACAAACAGTTTGCCTTTAATGAGAATGCAGGACATGCATGAGTAGGTTGCTAATTCTTTGTGTAAAGTCCTCCTGATAATTGCTACATGTGTACCTTTCCATTGTCTTCCATGGAAGTGAGATTGCAATTTTTTTCCTTTGGAGCTGAAATTAGAAAAAATTTATTAGAGAATACTGAATGTCAAAGTTGCAGGAGATCATGCCCAGTGGTGTGTTTGGAGGAACAGGAGCAAGTCACCAGTAAATTGGGAGTTGTACAGAGCAAGGGAAAGCAATTCGGGAAGGGATTCAAGGGATCAGCCAAAGCTTTTCTGGCAGCTACTTCCTCAGTCAAACCATTAATTTTTGTTAATCCTTTGCAAAAATCTGGTGATTTGGGAACAAAATTTTACAGTATTTCAGTCTTGCTTTAAGAGGCCAAATCCAATTACTGGATAATGGGACTTTGGCCTCCCAGGAGCAGAGACACTTAGGAAGATGTGGGTTCATATGGGGGTTTCTTCTTATTTCATTACTGGATTAAAATCTCTACCCCACCCTTAAGTCTGCACCAGGAACTCTGTAAGCAGGAGCTACACCAGCCTGGAAACCAAATGGAGCATAAAACCCCTGTCACCATCCCTGCAGCTGATGGTCCTACTGTGCTTTTGGGCTATTCCTGTGACTCTGTGCCCATGGAGCTTGGCTGTCCTGGCTCACAGTGTGTCCCCAGAGCTGCTGCAGGGCCGTTGGATGGGGCAGGCTGGCCCAGGGATCCCCTTGCTCAGAGACACCCCCAAAAACTGCACTGCAGGAGGATCAGTATTTTGGAGGTGTTTTGGTAGAGGGGAAAACCTCTTTTTTAAACCCAAGTTATGCTTATGGAAACTAAGACTGTTTTTCATGTGTTTTTCAGACTACCTGCTCTGAGGACAGTTACAAACAAACACAGGAAAAATATTTTGAAGAAAGAAACCAAATAGGAAGAAGAAAGTGGAGAGTACATAGAGCTGCTGGCGAGAGCTTGATGCCCTGGACTGCAACTCCCTGCCATTGCCCCCCCCTCACTCCCTTTTTTAATTACAAGCAGCCAAACTGTAAAGACCTTAATGGACATCTTAATTATTGCATTAAAGTTTGAAATGGAAAATTCCTCATTACATGCCACGCAGTAGGTCACGGCTGCAATAAACGGTGATATTTTGCTTGTTACAGGACTGGGTGCCCTTTGCAGAACTGGTGTCTTTGGGGCATGTCCCGGCCCTGGGGAGCTGCCAGGTGGATGTTAGATCAGGTCTCTGCTGTGAGAGCATCTGCTTGTGTTTTCCAGGCAAAACTATCACCAAGAAGTGCTCTTTGCTATTCCTTTTCTCCTCCAAATAGGGCTGTTTTTCTCCTGTGTTTTGCTTTCCATCTGCTTGAATGTGTTTATTGATTTAGTGTTATGCAAACTGCAATAAAACAGTATCCTTCTAATGATCTCCAGCCAGCTATGGAATATTTTCCAAACAATTTAAGTACAAACCCACCCCAACCAGCAACACAATGTACCTGTCATTGACCAGCCTTTAAGCCCAGTCACACATTCCCAGATCCTTTTGCACTGTGCCTGTCCCTGCTTGCTCCAGGCAGGCTGGAAAGCTCAGGTCCAACCTGTGACACAGACAATTTAAGGAATGTGGCAGGAAAAAAAGCTCCAACTAACCTAAAGGACCTAAAAGGTCAAAATAGCTCATGTGTGTATGTCAGAGGTTGTTTATACCTTTATAAGAGGAGCAAGAGGACAGGAAAGTTTGAGGACAACTTGCACCCAAACCCTAAATCATCTTCAGCATCATTTTCATACCATCAAGTTTCATGTTGTTTTTTTTTTTTCTGAGCACATTGAGGAGAAAATTAGAGGACTCTGCAGTACTTAGAGATATTCTCTTGATTACATGACTCTACAGATGAGGTGTTAAAATTCCTTTCAGTGGCTATTTCTCATTCTAAAATGCCCCCCAAACTTTTCCTTCGCTCCCCACCACTAACTGCACAATTGCCATGTGAGGGGTCCCAGCAAATCTGGGACAGCAGATCCTGGGAGTCCCCAGGGCAGCTCTGGTGGTGAGAGCCACCAGCCAGGGCTGCTCCTCGGCAGGGCCAGGCTTTGCCAGCTGTGCCAGCCAAACCATCTGCATCAGCCACACTACCCGTGCCAGCTGTGCCAGCTGTGGCAGGGCCAGGCGCGGCAGCCCTCGCCCGGCCGAGCTGCCACTTCCCAAATCTCACAGCTCCCTCTGTTGGCATCTGCTCGAACCTATCGGCGTGGACGTAAAAAAAGCTAGCAATGCATTTTTTTTTTTTTTAGCACGGTCTCCACGTGGAAGGTGATCTGCCTGCGGGGTGTATCCCACCTAACGCAAGAATCACTTCGTTTGTATTATTACTCTCAAGCGATATTGGGTCATGGATGCTGTACTGACCACAGCTCTGCTGAAGGCAGCTTTTCAGTCATTTTTCCAAAAGCAGTGAGAAGATGTAGCTGGCTGTGCTCAGGGTCTGATGTACAAGTACACGTGGGGATGCTCTCCCAGCACAGCCCCCCCTAAGGAGTTAATCACATCAAATATACTTGTCTGTCCCTTACTGATCACACAAATTAACACCTCTGCAGTCAAAGGAAAACCACAGTCTGCAAATGATTGGCTGCCTTTATTTTTTTTTCAGGTCCTTCTGTAACAAAAACTCAGACCACAGGCTTTGGCAAGGTGGCTTAAACAAAGAACAGAACAGGTCTGCAAAATGGTTTCGGCACTTCACCAATGAGGTATGAGGATAATGAAACACAAGCTCAAGTCAAATACTTAAGTTGTTAGCCAGTTACAGAGACAGACAACCAGGACAGCCCACCAGTGTTAGCTGAATTTAGAGAGGAGGCACAGCCAGCCACGCTGACTTTCCTTTGAAGATCTCAATTCCAAATTTCCCAGCTGGCAGAGCCAAGGGGTGGCCAAGCTGCCTGGTTCAAACACGAGTGATTTAAACTCATCAACTCTTTCACAAGAAATGGTGCAATCAGCAAAGAGAGCAAGGATTGACTCCTTGTGCTCCTGACCTGCAACACTGAACAGCCAGGGAAGACACTAAAAAAAAAAAAAAAAAAAACCCCACAAAAAACATCTTTTTTTTTTTTTCTGTGTCACTATAGAAAAGGCCATACAAGCAATCTGCTCAGACTGGACAAAGGACAAGCTGGCAGAGATGGCTGCACAGCCTCGGGCCTCTTTGGCAAGCCTGGCTTTGTTTGCTCTGAGTGTTATCCACCGATTTTAAGACTTCCCACCAGTCTTCCTCGTAGCAAACAGCCTTTTAGAGAAAAAAAAGCACAGAAAGAGAAAAAAAATTCTTTCTTATCTCTCTATCCCTAATCAGGCCACATTGATTTTTTATTCTCTTGAGAAGATATCAAGCAGTTGCACCTTTATCTCTTAATATGCCCAGTAAGTGGCTCAGCTCAGTTTAGTGACACCCATTAGTGTCTCTGCAATCAAAAGGCTGTCACTATTTTCACTACAAATCCACCTATTCAGAAATTTAACATGGCTCCAACAGGTCTTCCAAGAAGAAATCTGGCCAAAACAAAAGGTAAAGAAGGAGATAATTGGGGTTTTTTTAAGGACAATAAACCTGAACCTACAGCTTTCCTGCACTGCAAAGTCCTTGGGAAATCTGATCCTCAGTCAGAGATGAAGTTTTCTGGTAAGCACTGGAAAAACCAAAGAGAACCTTTCAGCCTCAAGCAAGGGGCAGGAGGAAAAGCAATGAATTGCTTTAATATGAAATGTCACATTTAAACTTCATCCTACAAAACCAAATACTGGAGGCTGGTAGATACTCCCCTTCAAGAAATAGTGAGGGATTTGGTGGGAGCACCACTCAAAATAAGCATGCAGAGTCAGGCCTCAAATACATAAAATACAGAATTTGGTGCTTACATTTTAAAATATTTATAAATAACTTAAGACATTCAGGCTCAGAGGTGTCTACAGCCAAGTATTTCCCTCTGACATGGGGAACCACAGGGATCCCCATCCCTATGGATCCCCAGTGCAGAAATTTGGTTTATGCTCAACATAGAAACAAAACCTGCCCGTGTGAGGCTCTTTGGAAAGTCTCCCTTGGCCCTTTGAGAGCACATGGAGGACACACCTAATCCAGCAGAACACATTTGGGGGTGTAGATCTACAGCACAGAATGTGACCAGTTCTTCCTATACATTCACAGCATCTGGTAAAACAGCTCCTGGGGGATTCCTCAGCTGTTCCTGCACCACGAGGTGAGCCCAGCTAAGCCTGACCCTGGGGGATGGCAGATCAGCTCTGCTCTCATGGTGGAGCTGGCCTGCCTGGGCTCAGGGCTGGGGTAAAGCCACCTGGGAGAGGAGGGACACCTTGAGCTCTGTCCTTGAGCAAAGACAGGCTTGCCTTGGAGTGCTCTGCTCTGCAGCCTCCTGTCAGGACCGACACAGCCCCTGGATCCACTGCAGACATCCAGCCAGACACTCCCTGAAGGGAAGCCTGGGATTCATCTCACAACCCTTGGACACCTGGCTGGTACCTGCTGAGCTGGCTGCAAACAAAGGCACGGGAAGGGGGGTTAAGGTCAGAGGTACATTCGTTGGGACAATCCCTGTCACACAGTTCAGAGGACACGTGTGGCACAGCAGCCCAGAGGTGGACGGTCAGAGGACAGCAGAGCAGGGGGGGACCTGCTCCTGCACGGAGAAGCAGCTCCTCCTCAGCAGGGCATGGAACCACAGCAGCCTTGGGAGACAGGTCGGGTACCCTCCTTTGGCCACATGGATATTTGTCCACCGGACACAAACTGGGACAAACTGGTCCCACAGACCATATCCTCACTGGAGATGTTGAGCTGGATGGCTCTGCAGGCCACCAGCTACACCCTGAGCAAAAAATAAACTCCACATTTTTTTCTGTCATGGGTTCCATCCAGACCCACTATGTACTTGGTTTCAGCATATTTTTTTCCCCATTAAAACACCTAAAAAAAAGTTAAAATGTTCTTTGGCACTTGTGCAACATAGACGTGACACTCTCCTGTCCTTCAGCTGCTCGATGGGCTCATCCCTAGAGATCCACGTAAGCAGAGTCTGTGTCCACCCTCTGGGCCTCTCCAAACAGGAGGAATACACAGAGCCCAATGCTGTTAACAGCAGCCACCAGGTTGAAAACAGAAATCCAGGAGCCAGTCGTTTCAATCAGGTAACCAGCCAGGTACACACAAATGACACCTGTGACAGAAGAGAAGAGAAAGACATGCAAAGGCTCTGGGGCTGGATCCTGCCCTCTGCAGGGAGAGGGCTCTCTGGGAAAGGATGAGCTGCAGGAAGGTACTTTACCTAGGAGGGCTCCACCTGTATTTGCAACCCCTGGAAGGAAAAGAAAGAAATTGTGTGTTCAAAACCCACAGACATGAGCAGCTTCATCCTGGCTCCCACCAACCCCCAGTCTGCACATCTGGCAAAATGTCTTGTTGATCTCAGAATCACAGAATGGGTTGGGTTGGGAGGGACCTTAAAGCTCATCTCATTCCAAACCCCTGCCATGGACAGGGACACCTTCCACTAGCCCAAGTTGCTCCAAGCCCTGTCCAACCTGGCCTTGGACACTTCCAGGGATGGGGCAGCCACAGCTTCTCTGGACAACTGACAGAGACCACTGAAATGTAGTACCATCCCAGCCCTGGATGCAGGTCCAAAGGCACGTTGGTGCCATTTACCTGCCCCCAGCACTGGCAGGTTTATTGCAGAAGGAAGCTGAAGCTGCACACACAGAGTGGACATTGCCCAGAGCCATCATTACTCAAACCTTGACCATGTCCCCCCCACAGATGCCACCTCTCCAGCATGGAAAGCCCACAGAATCCTTACCAAAGAGCAAGCCAGCACACGAGGGGGCCAGGTCCTGCACGTTTACTGAAATGCCACTGGTGAGAAACAGAGAGGGGGAAAAAATGGCTGTTTGAATAGAACACTGTTTCTTCATCATTTACACAGAGACTGGTTTGTGAAACACAAGGAAAGGTTCTGGACAAGAAATGGCACAAGAAAGGAGTAGAAGCTGAGAGTGAAGCAGTCCAGGTGAGCATAAGAAGGAAAACAATTCAACTCAAAGTATTCAGAAGGGCCAAAATGCAATTCCCCTGCTTCATCTTTCTAATACTGGCTGGTCCAAGCCCTTTCCCACACTTGAGGTTTGCTGGATCATTTCCAACCCCCTCAGGCACTAAACTCCACCGGCTTCACACACAGTGCTCAGGCAAGCACCAGTTCTTGTTCTGACAGGCAGGATGGAGGCAGCATTGCCCGAGACCCCAAAATGCCAAGTGTGGGACGAGAGCAAAGGGCCACAGCTCCTGTCCCCATCGCTCTCCTTACCTGTGGTTAAAGGTCTGGAGTCCAACAGAGGCGGAGGCAAACACTATTGCTCTGCAAAAACTGGAGGTCTGGCCCAGACACAGAGCAAAAACGCTTGAGACGCCAGAGCCAATGACCTGGAAAAAAGGCAAAATTAAACACCACAGCACATTTTCTGTAAGGAAGAAAGCAAATTATGTCACGAACAAACTGTTCCCTTTTCCAGTGCAAAAGCTCATGTGCACCAGGTGCTTCTCAAGCCTTTTTTTTTTCCCAGTGTCCTGCCCTTCTGTGTCAGACGTCTGTCCAGACGGATGTGATGCTGCAGAGCAAAGGAGACACTGTGTTCTCACCCAGCATTTCTATTTTTGTTCACCCTTGTATTGCTACTTCCTCAGTATCTAAGGGGTCATTCAGAGTGCTGGTGTGACAACAGGGACAGGTTGGCCTTTGCCTGTGAAAGAAAACCCCTTCAGAGCACTCACTGTGCTCAATGTTACCATTAGTCCACTGTTAACAGAGGTCCACGCTCTGTTCCTCAGCCAGGGTTTTCCTCTGGATTTCCTTTCCCACACACACTGACCACCAATCAAAGCCAGAAAACCTTCCCTCTTTCCACCTATAACCCCCAACCCAGCTCCATACAAGGTCTAGTCTGACATGTAGGTAGAGCTCAAAAGGTAACTTGGGTGTCTCTCCTGTGGCTTCAGCTCTCTTACCTGCATGAACTTACGAATGGTGATGGTTCTGTACCCTGAAAGAAAAAGGCAGAGTAGGAGTTCAGCACATCAGGTTCTCCTTGTTTTCCAGCCAGAACATCATGGGGTAAGTGGATTTCAGATGCCCAGATTTCATCTCCATGTGGATATTATGACTGAGATCAAAGCGAGCCCCAAACACATGGAGGGGATTTGGACACTGGAGTGTTTATTCTGCTGTTGTACCAGAACCTCACATTGTCTATTTGCTAGGTCTTCTCCCTACCAACAGGCCCATCTCCTCCTACTCACATCCTCTCTCCAAATCCCATAAAATTAGAGCTGATGAGAAGTCAGAAGGGCTCTTACCTTGACTGATTAAATGATCAGACAGAAATCCACTGAACAAGCTTGTTGGAATTGCAACCAGCCAGGGGACTACATTAAACACCCAACCCTGAAACAGAGTGAAAATCAAGAGAGGTTTGTCAGAGCTGAGTTTGTTTGCAAATATTTTATTTGATAGTCCACAGTATCTGCAGAAAGGGGGAAAAATGAAGCACTTGGGACTTGTTGCAGCATCTGTACCCCATTTGGAGGACCAGCTCTCAGCTGCACCCTGCCCCACTCCAAGCTCTGCATCACAGGACAGTAGCATTTGTAGGTTTGCTGTCTTTCCTTCTGCCCTGGTGACTCTTCATCCAGGGGAGAGGCAGAAAGCTCTGAGAAAGAGGGATTAAATGTGGCAAAGTTTACTGCTCAGCATAATGATGTGGCAGAGAGCCAGAGAGCCTGGGAAGCTCACTGTGGGTTTCCTGTGGGTCACCAGCAAAGCAGAATTTCCAACAGCTCCAACCTCATTAGCAGCGTTACTGTGAGGCCGAGGGAGTGTAGCTGGATTTTCTAATGGCAGGATTAGGTAACATTATGGGCAGTAACATACTTTGGCCTATTTTCAATTAAGTGAGCTTGCTACAGCTGTAATCACAGCTGGTCAGCTGGATTACAGCTGCTCAGGGGCACTTCAGTGCCCAGATCCCACAAGGAGCTGAAACCAGTGTGGGTTGGGCTGAGTTTCATCTCAGCTCCTTTGAACCTACTCATCCATGCATCCATCATCCATCCATCATCCCCTGCATGTCTCCCTTTGCTCAGAGTCCATCACCCCGTGGAGGCATCTCCCCTTCCTGCCTGGCTTTGGGATGTGTGGGAGGGCTGAATAATCTTGGGTTTGAATAATATTGTTTCAGCTGCTCCTGGAAATCATACCAGTGTCCATTTGCACCTTTCCATGCCTTTGAAATTTGGGTCTTGGTCACTTTTGAGAATATTACCCCATGGGGTTTGTGGGGCAATGCCTCTGGTGTTTGTTAACACCAGCTGGGGTTGCTCAACGCGACAATCCCAGTGCACCTTGTCTAATCCCTCAGCCCATCACCCTGATCCAAACCCTCCATCAACCTCCAGGCAGGCTGGAGGCAGCTGCCCAGACAGAGGTGAGGCAGCTCACCTGCAGAAAGGGACTTTGGCCAGCAGGTGACACAGGTTTCCCACATTAGGGATTATTGTCCATCCTTTAAAACCAGGCATCCTCGAACCACGTTTTAAAATACATGAAGTGATTATCAGCTGCAGACACACTATATAGAGCATCTTACATAAGGGCACTGTGATATAATGCTTAACAGATGGTAAATTACTGCTGCACAAGCACATTACTCGAGGTGCACAGATCTTGTCACAACAATATGTTTGCCGGTTTAATACACGATTTTAATATAAATATCAAGTATGCCATAAAGAGCTTTACATGTGTAATATGAAAAGGCATTTGTAAGCAGCTCTGGAAATTGTAAAAAACCTAACAGAGCCATTGTGGAAAAGACTCTGTGAGTTTCTGAGAACAAGATGAAAATACCAGCTCTCAGATCAGATAAGTATTGCCTGGCTTTCTGAAAAATGGGAACATCATTTGTGCTAAGGAGGGGGAAGCTTTTGTAGTATTTTCGAAGCACACAGTATTAATGGTAATTTTAATTTTAGCAGGCAGGTCTGAGCTGTACAATGTCAGTCCAGCTAAAGACCCTGTGAAAAATCAGGAGTGAATGGTGGTTATTTGCAACAGCAGAATGTCATGAGCTCTGTGCCATTTGAAAACTGTAGTTTTCTCAGAAGAAAAGCAGTCTAAACCCCAAATATAACCTGCGCTTCCCTGCCTGGAAAGTGCCCCAGCTCTGCCTCCCCTCAGCATCCCTAAACAAACAACTAGAAACCAGCCTCTGCAACCTGGAGGGAGGATGCTGGCACCTCCAAATGTATGTGCAGGGGTGCCACGGCTCCTAATCCCACATGGAAACCTCCCACCCCCTCCTGACTCCCAGCCTGCTCTCACCAAGTCCCTCTGCCAACACCTTCCTTCCTAACCAACCCATTTTGGCAGGTACCCAGCATGACCCCCTTTGAACAGAGAGCAGCAACACCTGCCCCTCGGAGCCAACCTACCTTTGACTCAGGAAAAGTTTCCTTAAAGAAAGTTGGCAGCCAGGAGAGGAGAGTGAAGAATGTGCTGGCTGTGGAGAGCTGAGCAATGATGACAGCCCTGAAAACACACAGCAGAGAGGAAACAATCAGGAGTGACAGGTCACACTGGGTGGGAAACAGGCACTCGAGCAACCCAATATTTCAGTTCCTGGTCTATAAAGAAATCTCTCACAGCACTGCAATTGCTTCCTGAGATTTTTCTCACAGATAACAACTCCTTTTGGCTTTCTCCCCTTTGCAGCAGCGCTGGTTCCTTGGCTGCCCCATTGCACAGTGCCTGACGTCAGCCCCAGGCTCAGGCAAGGTTAACTGCAGTGGTAATTATGCCAGTGCATTTCCCACCGGTCCTTTCCAGTGCTACTAGAGTCCTCCTGCTCCAAGAACTGTTGTTTAGGGGTTTCCAGGGTTTTGTTATCAGCTCCATTGTTATTCAAGGCAGGAATGGCCTTATTGCCCAGTCTTGAAACAGCACTTGGGCACATGCTTGGAGGAGCTTCAATATCCATTGCAGTATCCCAAAGGAAAAATGGCCATTAAAAAGATGTTTGCCAGCAATGAGAACACAGCCTGTGCCACTCAGTGCCCCAGTGCAGCACTTCTTAGGAGCCCAATACAAGCAGCATTTCTAAGAAGACTGGTGGAGAATATCAGCCTGGAGGAGCACATGACTCATCCAGGGGGAACAGCCTGGGAAGGAGAAAGATTTGCCAGCAATATTCAAGCCTGACAGTCCTCTGGACAGAACAAAAACCACCTTTTGCCAAACTTACCTTCTTAGTTCTTTATTGATACAGAAGGAATTAGAAAACCTGGTTGTTTCCCAAATATTTAAATAAGTGGACAAAAACTACAGAGGCAGAACAAATAAGCCCAGACAGGAGAAAAAGGAGGGTGCTCCTCAGCCCAGCTGATGCTCGAGGCCACTGCAGCTCCCTACCATATCGGTGCCTTCCTAAACAGCTGCTTCCAGGGAACTTTGGTCTGCTTGGGTATCGAGAGGCCTCTTGTTAAATAGTCTATGGGGATGATGAGTTCTGCAGGGAAGAAAACAGCCAAAGGAAAGCTCTGATCAGTAACTGTCTGTGCAGCTGGAGGCAGCCCTGGGACACTGCTATACAACTACCTTCAATCTCCTTGTTTTTTGGTCTTGTTTTTTTGGCTATGCCACCACTGAATGCTCATGAAAACACCTTGTTACGTTGACCAAAATTTTTCCGCTGCATCCACACATTTTCCCACTCAGCATCTTCCACCCATTTGTACCCCTTGTAATAATTAAACAAAAATCCCTTGGGCAGGGACCACATTTGAATTCTGTGTAGCACCAGACACACACCCATGAGCTTGGCTTCTACACATCAAGCTCACACTAATAATGCTGTAGCCAGGTGTCATGGTTTGTCCATATGCAGAATTACTCCCAGACAGTTATTTCGGAAGAGATATTCTGGATTAATGGGTTTTTAAAAGCTCTATGTGTAGATGCTCTTAGTTGTGAATAAGTATCTTGTCCTGCTTTAGCTTAATCCACTTTGAAGATCATGCTCTGTTTTGTGTTTTCACTGGTGCTTAAGAGTACTGAGGAGCCAGATCAGGGACGTAATCCAGCGTGGGACTTGAAACAGGAAATCAGCATTGAAAGAGCTCAAAACCTCGTTTCTGGGTTGGGGGTCTTGGGTGAGACACAGTGTGCATTACAGAAGACACCTGAGCAAAAGGTCTTTGTGCAAAACCAGGCATGATCTTGGAAACACAGAGGATTTGCAGAAAACAACAGAGAGGAATCAGTCAGTTCCCAGAGCCCTGGGAGCACTGGCAAGCCCAGGGATGCCTGGGATTTACCTTTCTCACTCAGAAGGTACTTGCAGGTGCAGTAAACCCAGAGCAAAGTGAGCAAACCGGAGAAGTAGAAAACGCTTTCCCAGCCATACCAGTCCAGGAGGAGGGATCCTGCACCACCAATCACCAGTGTCCTGCAAGGGAAACCATTTGGATTTACTGGTCTGCCCCACCCTGAAACACGGACAACGAGGAAAGAAAAGGAGGTTGCTGGTGTGCAGTATCTCAGAGAACGCACAACACAGCAAAAGAAATAAGCACACTGGAAAACTAAGTGGTTAAACACAGTAATATTTCTATTTGGCTTTTAAGAAATCCTCCTATTTAGAAAGGAAATTCTGATGGAGACCAGCAGAGAAGGGGAAGTTCTATTCTCCCCACCTATCAGAGTGGAAAGGTGACCAGTCTCAGGCTGACCCTTGCTCTTCCTACTGAATCAAACTGTTTCCCATAGTAATTAAATGTTGCAAACACTCTTCAAAGTCTGGTTTGAAAAGAAAGAGAAAACAATACATAAATCCTTGACAGGCACGACAGCAACTGCCTGAGGCTTCCTCAGCTGCAGCCTGTGTCCTTGAGGACCCGTGAATCCACATGTACTTTGGGCTGTGAGTTTTGCCTCCAACTATTTAATGGCATTTCATCACATATGATGTCCAGAGACTGTCACTCACTGCTCAAAGGCCTTTGAACTTACCCAAACTGTGAGCCAGTCCCCACTGTGCTGTAGGTGAAGGCTCGTTCGCTCTCCCGGACCCTCTGGGACAGCAGGCTGGCCAAGGATGGGAAATACACCCCTGAAAGCAACGGGAGCAAGGCAGGGAACAGTCAGGATTGTTGGCAAATCAAAAGCAAATTTAAAAGATCCAGAAGGAGAACACTGAGATAAAGCAGCAAACCCCTTGGTGGACTCAATACAGGGACATAAAATAAACTAAGTGGACTCATTGCCATGAAAGGTTTGTTTGAGCCTTCTCTGTAATCCCTCATTTCATCATCACTGCAACTGCTACTGTAAATCCATCAGTGTCAAGGCACCTCTTCAGTGCTGTAGCTTGACAACAGGGACGGAATATCATCCCAAATTATCCATAAGTTTTGGCAAGAGTCGATTTTCCCCAAGTACTTTGAAGGAGTTTGAAAACGTGGAAAATCAAACAGCACCAGTGATGATTTCCAAAGCCAGCAGCCCCTGTCTGGCAGAGAGATTTCTACAGGGGAATGACTTGTCAGTGACTTTCTCTAGAAATGTCACTGTTTTTTCCCATGGAAGTTCTGGATGTGGAAGCAGCTTTGAGGCAGAGAATTGCTCAGACACACAGGGGAAGGGTTCATTCACTGCAGACCACAGGATTTGAATCTGAATGTACTGCACATGAATCCCTGTGCAGGGAAGCCCCCCCGGGCACACAGAGACACAGGACAGGGGGCTCACCTTGCAGCAACCCCATGAGGAACCGGGAGGAGGTCATAAAAACAAGATGGGCAGAAGTGACATGGGTGAGCACCGGGGTGAGGACTGTGAGGAACCCCCAGGCTGATGCTGAGAGGAGGAGGACTTTCTCACCTCCTATTCTGGAAGACAGAAAACACGTTATCAAAGGTGAGAGGCCAAAAGGGCAAAGTGCTCCAGTCAAGACTCAAGTGCCCTTCCCAGTTTAGCCAGTTTTTACAAACAACTGTTGGGTCAAACCTGTTCTTCTCTTACGTGTCTTTAGCCCCTGGCAAGGAGTTCTGATCTCCTCCCTTCTCACCTCCTGCCAGCACTGCCTGTCCAACTCCAGCACACACTGATCCCAGAGACCAAACAGCACTGACACACTCGAGTTTCTGATAGTGATGGAGGAGAAACTCAAGTGCTGCCACTATTCTGCTCCTCTTAACCAGTGACAGTGTTTTACATGTGCCCTTTTGCATCATCTCTGCCTTTTAACATTCAGGTTTTTGCAAGTGTTTGCTTGGAAACTATTCAGGACCATAACTAAATAGCACAGTGCACTGCACAGGTAATGTACTCCTTCCAGGCAGGCGCTCCTCACGAAACATTTCACAGAAAAGCCCCTCCCGCTAAGAATAGGGTGGCTGTGGAAAGGAACTCCAGCAGGCAATGACTCAGATGTTCCCTTACAACCACTTGGGGAACATGTTTGTTTTTTAATTTCTATGATAAAGTGAAGAGACTTGGTTTTTCCAAACATGATGGAAACTGTGTTCAGTGAAAAGACTGCAATACAGGATAGAAAAACTGGACAAGCTGAACTGAAAACAAAGATAGACTGTGCAGATCAAATTTAAAAAAAAGCTGTATTCATGAAATCCTAGAATCAATTTCAGTTGGAAGGGACCTTGAAGACCATTTCATTCCAACCCCTCTGCCATGAGCAGGTACTCCTTCCACTAGACCAGGTTGCTCCAAGCCCCATCCAACATGGCCTTGAACTCTTCCAGGGCTGAGGCATCCACAGCTTCCATCTGTACAGTCTAAACTACCCATGCCCCCTCTCTATCAGTGCTACAGACCCTGAGTGAGGCTGGCAGAGAAACCTCAACCCCTTTCAGAGCAACCTGCAGTGTCCCACAAAGCTTCTCCCCATGGACACGCTTCACTTTTCCACCCCACCACTGCCCCAGGGTGAGGCACCAACACCAAGCTACATCTTCAAAAAACAGAGGAAAACATAAAAAAAATTTCCAGTACTGATCACTGATGTGTCCTCCGATGATCTGTGTCAAGCAGTAGCCCCAGAAGAAGCTGCTGAGCACGACCCCAGACTGCTTCTTGTCCCAGTCGAAGTAGGAGCTGAGGGCGACGGCGCAGATGGGCACAGTGACACGGGCACAGTACAGCAGGCACGTCCCCAGCAGCAGCATCACCGTCCACACACGGGACTCGGGCCTGTGAGGGTGCAGAGGAAGATGGGGAAAGGGCAGCTGGGATGCTGTGCCTGGTAGGTCCATGCACAGAGAGGACTTATGGGTCGGGCTGGTTTGCTCACAAGTCACGTCTGTCTTGGTAAAATGAAGGTCACTGCAACCCCCCTGTGGCACAAGGGCTCTGACACAGAGAGTATCCCACCTGGTGGCTTTTGGGAATGATGCTAACTTCAGCCCAAGCAATATTTGACACTGATAGCAAAATGTCTGTCCACAGGCTGCAAGGTGGAAGGGGCTGCTTGGACATCACCGGCTGTGGATGGAGGGAAAGGTGGGGAGGAACCTGGTTTGTTTGTTTTTCTTCCCCAAACAAGAAACTGTTCTTTAAAAGATAAGGGTTACAAAGGAAAGGTCAGGGCCTGAGGTTGGAAGCATTTGCATGAGACACACCATCCTGATAGCAAATATTTGTAGTTTGGCATTCCTACCCAACCCCCAAGGGAGCTGGTGTGTGCTACCCTTCCCAAAATAGGAGAGAGATGAAGGAATTCTTTAGAGAGACAACACATAATGGGTCTGAAGAGCTCAGAGAGGAGCAAAATAATTCAGCCTGGCCTGATAAGAAGTTTTAGATAACATGAGCCATAATATGTTAACAGAATATGTTATTTGGTGCATGAGTACTCATGCAAGTGCTCACTCAAGAAAAGTGCTCCTGCAGAAGATATAAGCTGGAAATAAGTGGGAAGGCAATTTCCTCCTGCTCCAAGTCAGTGATGTGCTTCTGGAGCAAAGAAACACATTTTGCTGCAAACATCAGGCTCAGATGTAGGTGAACCCCTCTGCCTTCCCTCAGCCCAGTTTGTGTCACTCTGGGTCCCCCTTTGCCCATGAATTATGGAGTTAAAAACTTAGTAAGAACACACACTATTGGTATTATTTGTATTTGGCTATTTCTATGCCCAGAGGCCAGAGCACAAAGCACTGAGCAAACACACTCTCTCTGCTCCAGAGATGGCTGAGGAATTCACTGTACCAGGGCAGCAACCTCTGGGCTTCCCACCCTACTAAACACACCCACCATCCGTGTGGGAAACAACCCAGGTCACCTTTTAGAGCGAATGGAGCATTTATTCCTCTGTACTGGAATTATGCTAAATGTAGGTTAATACCACACAGCACAAACCCATTTATAAAGGTGTCAAACGGAACAATGAAAAGTAGAACACAGCGGGCAGGTGAACCCACTGGAGGTGGATTTATTGCTGTTTCCTGACAAGGCAGATAAGCAGCTCAGTGCCAACCCCTGGCAGGAGGGACTGCAAGGGTTTTAGTTGGTGTTTTGAAGGTTGGAACCATCGTTGCTGTGCACACGCACGAGCGCACAAAATAACACGGGAACTGGAAAACCTCTCCCATTTCTGCTGGAGGAATAAGTAACCAGGGGTTGACCTGCCTCTGCCACTTGAACAGGCTGGTAAATGCTCTCACAGTCCCTCCTGTGGGGGGGACTTACCCTGAGAGGGAGATATCTTCACTCATATCTTCATTTGCTGCAAAACCAAAGGCGATCTGGTTTTTGATAACCTGCCCCAGCCAGCTCCAGGAGCAGTGGCTCCGCCAACTCCTGCTTGCTACAGAAAAGCACAGGGAAACCAAAGGCTCCTGGACACTGTGTCCAGGTCAGACCAACCCCAGCTGGACAATACAGGCAGGAGTTTTTGGGTATAAATCCCCCATCAGAGGCAGAGGGCAGGTGTGGGATCACCAGCCATGGAAAACATTATGGAGAGCCCTCAGGGATGAGATGCTTGCAGGTACAAGCCACAGACTCGTGCCTGCCCTGCCCAAATGGGCTGTTGCCAGTCCAGGGCCATAATCTCTCCTGTTATCTCCAGTGGCACAGCACTGATAAATTTGAGCTATTGAACCTGCAGCAACCGAGGTGACAGAGCAAAGCGCAGCAGCCAGTGATGTGTGTAGGTATTTTCTATTATTTAGGCACCAAGACAGTTTTCTAAACTGTGCTTTTCCCCTGCAGCAAAGAGAGACCTTTATGAGCTTTCACTGGAGTGGGGCTGAGCTCTGCCTCTCCAATCACTCTGGTGTGTTCATAACAACCCCCAGTTACCCTGGCAAGCACAGCAGCATTTTAATGGGATATCAGATTGACGGTTCTTCCTTGTCCCCAAACTCTATAGGGCTGTGCAAAGTGTAAGCTTGACGTGAGCAGCTCAACTGTTCTCTACTCCACTTCTCTTTATAGTATTGACAAGGTCTGCTCCCTCCAGAGGGTGTTTGCAAATGGGAAAAGCAAAACCCACACACAGCAAGGTTGGTGTCCCAGGAAAGTGCAGGCTGGGGGAGCACAGTTTGGTCCTAAGGGATTGAACCCCAAAAGGGATGAGCAGGGCAGCTCTGGCTTCAGGGCAGAGGCACAGGAGGGCATGCTGTGAACTCACAGCTTCTCTTCTTGCCCCAGCGAGGTGGAGAGCGTCACCCAAGGGGGTTTGTGTGGTAGGGGGAGGCAGCCAGGCCAGCAGTGCTGGGGTCTCCACACAGCAAGTCTGACCTGGATGAGAGTGGGGGCACAAAGTGCCACGTGGGTCTCTGCAGAGCAGGACACCACTCAAAGCACAGCTCAGATACAGAGGAACTCCCAAGTAGAGATGTTCTCCCAAGAAGCCTCCTCGCCAGCTGATGTTTTGACAGAACTCCAGGGAATATTTTTCTCTTGACTTTAATTCTTTTTCCAAAGCACTAAATAAGTCTCTGGGTATATGACACAATCTCAATGTTCTCTTTGACTACTACTCCATTCTATATTCTTTTCCTGTATGTTTAAATGCATCAGTAGAGACTTGGGCTCAAATTAAGTGGGAACTGTAACAACATCTTCAGACTACCACTTCCTCCATAGGTGGCATATCCAGCTAGGAAAATCCACGCAAATCAAATGTAATCACTAGCTGCCCACACCCACCTGAAAGCATGGCAGGAATGATTTCTCTGCAAGGACAATGACATGCTTGCATCAGAGGGAAGAGTTTTGTAAATACATTTTCTCCTAATTATAGCTATCACAGAGGCTGCTGATGAGTCAATGTTCTGCTCAGTGCAAAACAACAGCAAAGGTTACAGGAGGAACCTGGACTAGCACAAAGGGAGAAATTAAAACCCTCCTTCAAAAACTAAGGAATAATGACAAATCAAACAAAAGTTTTTGTGGGTGACATCAGCCATCCGAGAAGCAGATGTTAACAAATTAAATTTGATGGGTCCCCTGATGAGGGAGGGAGGGAGGGATGAGCTGTGCTGGAAACAACCACCCTGAGTCAGAGCAAAGCACATCTGAACCTATGGAAGTCACAGCCGTTGTTGTCAGGTCTCACCAGCCACAGGGACAGATCGAGCACCTCCCCACAGCCCTGTGCCAGTCCTGGCCAAGCCCAGGCTACATGTGACAGACACCCCATGAGAGGGGCCAGCCCTCCAGACCATCACCAGGTGAATCACTGGAGCGTGTCTGGAGCCACCTAATTGCCTTCACTGGGTGCTGTGTGACAGCAGCAGCTCCTCACTGCCCAGCCTGTGCCCTCCTCATCCATCATCCCCTTCTGCTCACAAGAGACAGGCACTGCAGGTGCATCCCCTTCTCACCTCACCTAGACCCTCTTCACCAAGCAAAGCAGTCATGCAGCCAGAAAACACTTCCTATTTCACAAACCTCCAACCACCACCCAGACAGCCGACAATTAGCTCAAGCCCTAATGACTCATCCTGGGTGGCTTTTTTGTACAGCAGCAGCCCTGCCTGATGTTCCTTGGTTCTCCTCCTCCAAATGCAGCCCCAGGCACTGAGTGGTCATGGCTTTGCTTCGAGGCATCCACTGATTTCCCTGGGACCCAGCTCCCACCAACCTAATGGATGCCCTGCCCAGGGCATGGTGGTTAGGATGGATTTTCAAGGATGCCTGAGATTCCCAAAGGGACAAAACCAAGCTGAGCCATCCGGCAGTGGAAGGAGAGCCAGCAGCACAGGCTATCTTTATTTGCAGTGCGTTTTCCTGCTGGAGGAATTTCTCCAGTAGATGCCACAGAGCAAATATTTATTCAACTTTATTTCTCTTGACTTGCTTCCCTCCTTTCCCCCACTGTGCAGGGCTGTTGGCAGACACTGCAGGTCACTGTTGAGATGGACCTGCTGGAGCTCAGGCAATCAATTAGATCACAGTTTGGTCCCCTCCAAGGCACGAGCCTGGACCGCTGGGTATTTTCAGGTAGTAAGAGAGCTGTGTTAGACAGCAAGACTACGAACAGTCTGTCCCAGCAACAGCTCTTGGCCAGAAGCCATCTCCAATGTTTGTGGGTGTTTTCCATAACTGGAAGAAGAATTGGGAGCTGCAGCTCCTGATCTGCATCAGATGGGCACAGGTATTGATAGCACAGCATTAACACCCTCCTCCCAGGAAGGACATCTCTACCTCAGCTCCCCTCTCTAAAAAGAGATAAAAATAGTTCTGTGGGAGATACGTGGCAAGCACATCACTGGAGTCACCTCCAGTGCCTGCAGCCCTCTTGCTCATCACAGCCACCACTCACCAGACCCTGCAAGAACCCCAGAGCAGGATGGAGATGGGCCCATGTGGTGGCACTGAGCTCCCAGCCACGCCACCAGCTCCAAACCCAGGACACCCAAGCACGAGGCCACCTCGGGGGGAATGTCCCCAGGACACACAGCCAGTGCCTGTGGGTTCCCCTGTGCCTGGTCACCTGTCACACCACAGCATGGGAATGTTTCCCTCCTTGTCAGCCATTCCCAGCTCCATGGGATCTTCACCCTTCAAAAACCTTTTTTCCAGCTTACCTGCCCACAGCTTTAATTTACAGTGACCTCCAACACAACCAGGACTGACTGACACGGCACAAACACAGCAGCCATGCACACTCCTGTGTGACGAGATAATACCCAGATAGTTATTTTTAACCCAGTTTGACAGTCCTCTCACTTCTCACTCTTTGTTTTTCTCGACAACAACTTCTCCTTCCCTTGAAAATCTAACATGCTTGTCAGGAAAGAGGTTTTCCCCCCTTCCTGGAGTTTATTTTGTCATGATGCAGACTGGCTCCAAGCTAATGATCTGTCGCTGTCAAAAGTAGCTTTGGGGTTTAGAGGAGGTTTGGTTGGTTTTTTTTCCCAATCCAGCTAGCAGCCAACAAGAGCAGCACAGAGGACACAGGGCTTTTTTTTCCTGGGAAAGCTGCTGGCTTCCTGTCCGCCTCCTGTGCTCAAGCTCCCTCCTCAGAGCCACAGATGGCAACAAAGTGGTGTTCAGCAAGAGAGCTCTGGGTTTATTCCCTCTCTTCATTTCTTGCTTTCGGCAAAAGGAAAGATGAAATTAGATTTCATCAGCTCATATGAGCTGGAAATAGTTGTTGAGTCCAGGTGGAGGTGGTGAGAAAACATAATAATAAAGCACAGGTGCACTTTGCATACTGATGTGAGGACATTACACAGATCAGCCAGGAATGAAATGCGTGTCCTGCTTACATTTTCCACGTGAAAAAAAGTTCTCAGCAAGGTCAAGATTAAAACTAGGGTGAGGAACTTGTACAATAAAAATCCCAACCACCGAAAAAACCCCGACCAGATAAAGCTGCAACATCACGTGTAGAAAAGATCAGAGCACAGAACTCAAAAAAACAACTGTTGTCTCCAGGCAAAGAGCAGGTCAGGCAATTGGAGACCAGCCTGTGGCCGATGGTAAGACTCCTTTTATCTCTGGAGCTTAAAGAAATTGCTATAATCACCCCTTGTCTTCAGGTGTAGCCAGAGGCTGGGAGATGGAGAGTGGTTTCAGGAGTCATTTCCTTCCCAGGATACAGCGACTTTTCCACGTTGTATTTCTCTCCTGGAGGCACCATCCAAAATGTGAACCCCACGTCCACTGCTGGATCTGCTCGTGGCTTTGTGTGCAACCTTCAGCAACTGATTTCTCTTCTCACTGCTTCGAGCCTTCCCCCAGTTAAACCAGAGATGCTTAAACACATCCACAGCCTGAGTAGTCCTGCTTTGGCATGTTAAGATCAGCATTAAAACGCACTTTATAACTGTCCAGATGTGCTACATAAACACGTGGGCTTTTTCAAGCCCCAAATAGAAATCCCCAAGTGCTGTTCTTAGAAGACGAGATGTGTGATAAAGGAGCCATCGGAAACCTGCAGAAAAGTTGGGGAAAGGCAGGAGGAAAGACAGGGCAAGAATAGTGGAAGAGGAAGGAAAAGCCATCTGAAAAAAGGGACGACAAAAGAAGCAGCAGCATGAACAAAGACTGAAAAAGAAACCTGCCAAGATAAGAGTTTATCTCTCCTTGCACTGATGGTGGGGACTGATCTTGGAAGGCTGCCTGGCATGCCTTTTGTTGGAGCATGAAAGGAGAACCTGTGTCACTTCCCTCACTTATTAACACCTTGCCTCCATGGCAATAACTCACTACTTGGAAATTGTTGCAAAACTGTCCACCAAACCACTCAGTGAGGTACTTTACAGAACTCGAGCAACCTGCTTGAGTGATCTGGTGCATCGCTCCCCCTTTCTGCTCTCTCTGTCCCACACTCGACCTGCCCAGTTTACTCAGGCAATAAAACCTCCATAAAACCTCCCCAACTAAGGGCTGTGACCACACGTGTGTCTACACCAAACAATGGGGACATGATCTCAGCTTCTGTGAATTACAGCAATATAGATAATGATCTGATGGGCTTTAGGGATATCCTGCTGCTTCCTCCCATTAACAGGTTTTTCAGTTACTAGCAGCACTTAAGATGGTCAGAATCACTTAAAATAGGTATGTCTTAATCAACAGGCTGTCTTCATAGCAGTGCATTTTGGTTTGGAAAGTGTTATCGATGGTTTGCATTTTTTGAAGAGATTTGAAGGGCTTGTTCTGGTCAAATATATTATTTTTTTTTTCTAGAGGAAAAACATATAAACTAAAGTTTTGTTTCATAAAAATCTGGTGTGGGGTCCCCCCCCACCACTCCCACTTCACAATGACTTAGGGAAAAGTTAGCAAGAGGGAGACAGAGAGAAGGAATTTTTTTAAGTGCCTTAGGGGGAAAGAATCTTCAAATTTTAAGCAGTCCAAGTGCCAAAGGCCTTCTTGAGACCCACCTTCTTACTCTTGAGATGAGCGTGGGTTTGATTAGACTTCTCGGTCTCTGACTGCAGGGAAAGTTTCCCTTGGGACAGCAATTTAAAACTGGCTATGGACCTGCTGCCACTGCAGGAAGCAATTGATGATAAATACCAATTTATCCAATGGTTAATTGCAGCTGGAAGGGGCAATTCTTCCCTTTGGCCACATGTTCCCGTGCATTGGCACCGCTGCCACTTGCCCTGTGGCTGCCCCTCTGCTCTCCTGCTGCCAAGGCGAGTTCCCCATGGGTTCACACCAGCCCAGAGGGGCAGAGGGGAGCCCCAGGGGTGCCACCACAGTGGCAGCCACAAGACAGTTCCTTTTCGTGGCAGTGTTAAACTGAGCCAAATTTCAAAAGCACATGGAGTCCAGGGACTCCCAGTTTGGAAAACCCTCTGACCATCACTTCCAGCTGCCCCACTGGTACTTCGGAATCATCATCTCATCCAACCTTCGGTGGGAGAAGGGGCAGATCCTGAGGTCGAGGTGCTGGATGACATTCCCAGGGTGACAGAGAGGAGCAGCCCTGTCCCAAGTGTCCCAGTTTCTGCTCCAAACACTGGAGTACCCTGTGTTTGCCCATGTCCCTGTTGTTAAAAGTGGTCAGTTTGGGCTTAATCGTATTTTTAAGTATTTTAATTACTTTACTTAAGGAGCAATTCAAGCTGTCTAGCTGCTGCCCAGCTACTATTCCAGACTTTATCTTAATGAATGAATATCGCCAGTACAAACATCCCCGCTGGAACATTTTGATAAGAACTTGACAGCGGTTTCGCGTTTGATTCACTGACAACAGGCCAGAAATAAACTCAACAGACGTTTTTCCCCCCGTGTTTCACAGCCATTCCCTATCTCCCCCCTTCCTTCTACCGTCTCTGTTGGAGGTTGATGGGGTGAGACAGCGGGTGGGACCATGTCCCCCGACCCCGTCCTGCGGTGCCCCCGGAGGGCAGCGCCGGGGCCGGGGAGAGGGTCTCGGCCCGACGGGGAGCACCGAAACCGCCGCGGGACCCCTTCCATCCAGGACCCGCATCCTTCCCAGGAGCTGTGGGAGGAGGGCACCGAGGATGCGGCGGGTCCCGGGGCCGGGAGGGCACCGGCCGGCGGGATGCGGGGAGAGCCCCGCAAGCAGGGGAGCGGCTTTCCCGGGAGCGGGTCCAGCCTTACCTGGACCAGTACGGGTCTCCATCGCGCCTCATGCCGTCGTGGGGGCCGCGCTCGGCGGTGCCCACGGGCACATTCCTGCCGCCGCCCCCCGCGGCCATGCGGGCAGCGCCTTCCGCCTCCCCGGCTCACATCGCCGGGCTCCCTCCCCCGCCGGGCCGGCCACGTGTCAGCGCCTCCCGCCGCCCCCGCCCGCCGGTCGTTCCGGGAAGTCCCGCCAGCACCAGTCCCTATCCCGGGGCAGCCTCGGACCCGCAGGGCTCGGCCCGGGGCAGGCGATGCTGGCCCGCTCCAGCCCCCACGGACGGCTGGGATCTGCTCCTTTCCTCCCCCTCCGGTGATTACTGACGCCCCCGTGGAGGGCAGGGAAAGAGGGGACTGTCCAGGGTGTGTCCTGCCCCTCCGATACCTGCGAGGGGAATCCGCTCCCTGCTCCCACAGCCTGCCGGCAGAAAAGTCTCTGCTTTTTAAAGGATTGGAACAGAGTATGGTATTCCCATCCGAAGAATTTGAGGAAAAATTAAATAGGGGTAAGTATTCGTACAGCTTGATCTAACTCTGTTGGATAGAAGTGATGCCTTGTTGTAAGTATCTGGAAAAGATAACCAGGCTCCTTTATGGACATAAATAATTAAAATGATGTTATCTCAGTCCAAAACAAAAGGACTCGTGACTCATTTCAAGAACATGAACGAGCAGGCGGAGGAGCCTTGTTAAGACATCGTTCAGGCGATGCTGTGGCCGATAGCAGCCTGGATGCAGGTACGGCAAAACTTCAGCTCGCAGAGGATGGAGAAGCTCCCGCACAGCCTGAGCAAGGTCGTACATGGCCCTTGGGAAAGGTACTTGAGCTTCTGGGCAGCACCAAAACGCGCAGGTGCAGGGCAGACACCTCCTGCCTACTGCTCCTGCTGCCAGCAACCTCTAAATGCTTGTTCTTAAGCCTTTAGCAGACTAATATTTAGGTAATTTACACATTATTCTCCCAACGTGAATCTTTGGCAGGTCCCTGATGAGCAGTCTGCTATTTAAGTCATGAGGGAGAACAGTATTACTGAGCTGAACCTTTGAGAGTGGAATAGCAAAAGGGTTTTACACCAGAAGCAGCTCCAGGAGAAGGAGGTTGCAGAAAAAGCAAAAATCATTAAGTCCTACTTTATCCTTTGCTTTGGTATTTCTTACTCAGAAGAGAGAGACTTCTGAGGCCTGTGGCAGTCACACAGACATGCTACCGACAGAGAAAACAAATAAAACAAGCTTTTACTGAGGGGAACCACGTGTAGTAACCACAGGTTAGCCTTTATCTGGTTGTAGGCTTCCCTCCCTTTATTTGGGCAGGAAACAAAATTATGAAGTATTTTTATTCACTCTGCTACTGTGCCCGTTTCCAGAAGAGGGAGCCAAGTCATGGTAAATTGCATCCAAACATGTAAACCCTTGTTCAATATGTTGTTTGTTTATTTTTTTAAAATTGTGTGTATGTTTGGAGTTCAGTTAATTCGAGGCAGGAGGGGAGATGAGCACTGATGGAACTACATGAGTGAAATTCACGTAATAAGCTCAGAAAAGGATTGAAAAGGTCTTGGGCATGGTAAAGCAATGACAAATACTGAAAACTTATCTCATACTCAGGTATGAGTTGTACTGTGTTCAGTCTCACAGCTGTGGGGTGCAAACATCTCCAACACTGACACTGCAACACTGAATCATAATTTTAGTGAGTAGTCAGTGTGGAAGTCAAGCACAAGTTTTCTTTCTTTGTGTACTCTTTGGTTCCTCTCCTTGTACTACTCAGTGTCACCTCTTCAATTAGGAGCTTGACTAATTTGCCTCTCAAATCAGAAGCTACTTTCACTGTCAAAACCAGCTGCAGTTGAAAGAAGTGTTTGAGTGTAACATCCATCACACATACATAAATAAGTTTTAAAAGTAAAAACACAGACATAATTCCTTTTATGGCTGTATGATTTGCTGGAGGCAAACCTCCCACCAGGCTGATTAAATGGCAAATGGAATCAGCTCAGAAGACAGGTGCTGACTACAGAAAATAAAAATAATCTTACACAAGAATATAATCTCCTCTGGTTTTTCCTGTGTTCAGCTTAATCTGTCAAAAGATTAAACCAAACAAAAGATTATTGGGTTAATATTTGACCTGACATTTACTATCACTGTAGTTTATCCACACAATGGTTCAATTATTTGAAGATTTTATGAAGTTAAGCACAGATCAAGAGCAAATCCTGAAGGGGTGTGAAAGGAGTAATAGGCTCACATATTCCATAATGGACAATTGTTGTCTCCTGAAAGGACAGGCCGGCTGCAGCTTGAAAGCTCCCTGCTAACCAAGGGCAGTCTCAAGCAACTTGTCCACAGAATAAAGAAAACACATGTGGGTTTCTACGGCTAAATAGAACTTTGCAAAATCACTAAACAACAATACACTGAAAAATAAGAAAATTCATCCAGGGGGGTATAAGGTAGCAGGATAGTGAATCCCCATGTAACATGAAAAGCACAACACACAGGGCTTTCTCATCCAAGGTGCCTGAACGCATCAACATGCAGCCCACCAGTAGTTTGACCAACCTTGTCCTTAATTTTATTGTACGAAGGCAGGAGGGGAGCAGAAAGGAATGAAAATAGTTTGTAGCACCTCGAGGTGTCCATGGGGAAGTACAAATCGTTTTGAGGGTGCTGCTCGTGAGCTTTGTGTTGTCTGTGCTCAGCTGAGCACACAAAGCAGTGAGAGGAGGAGCAGGGCTGGGGACAGGACCAGGGCTGGGGACAGGACCAGGGCTGGGGACAGGACCAGGGCTGGGGCCACCACTGCTCAGCACAGCAAAAAACCCTCCTGGTCCCTTTTCATTAAGGAGATTAGAGCACAAACAATTACTGACGCTGGCATGGCTTCTGAGGGTAGGGAGATCTACAGTGCAGGTCAGAACCTGTAGCCTAGAGGCAGATGTAGGGCAAAACCTGACTCCATCCCCTTTCCTGTGCTGGATCTGAAGGATGCTCTCAGCCGTGGCTGACAGCAGCAGCCCCGGCATCCGTGAAGACACGACACAGGGACCGCGCTCCAACTCCGTTTAATGAGCTTTGCAACCAACTGGGACAGAAGGAGGTTTGAAATAAGTCAAACAACACTCATCTAGTCAAGGATTTTTTTTTTAAGTAACGCCTTTAAGCTTATACTCGAGCATACAAAGCATAAATTTTACAAATTAAAAACAATAAAATCACCCTAGAATAATGTAATGGCTTCCCCTGTATGTACAAGGAGTGGAAAGGAGGCAGAATTCTTTCCAGGTAATTTCACACATTTCAAATGCTACATAAATGCTCTCCACGTGCTTTTCAATTTTTCTTTCAATGTGGGTGGAAGGAGCTGAAAGTGTTTCAATGAAATCATCTTAAAGAGAGAGAGGTACTTCACCTGGCTTCAAGGTGTATGTTTGCCTCTTCAAAAGTCTTGAGAGGAAATGCTTTACTCAAAATTCTGCTGTTAAGTTTCTGTGCAGCAGCCTCTGCTTTTCCAGCTATGTAAATTAAGCAGTTCAGTATTTCTCAAAGTACCACCAGCACTTCATCTTCAGGGAAGCCTGTGATTCCCCCCCCCTTCACAAATCCCTCCATTGTACAACAGAAGCAACCACAGCTCAGCTTAGATTTGACAGGCAGAAACAAAACACGGGAACAGCAAAGACAGTTACCAGGGAGGTGATGGCTTTGGGAAAAGGAGGGAGATTTGTAGCCTAATCAAAACACACTTGCTATGCAGCCTTTCTGCAGGGGCATATGACAGGATATTTTACAACCCAACTGCTTCACATACAAAGCATTAATGAAAAAAATCTGATTTGCTTTCACCAATGGCAAGGCTGGGGGAGGACGAGTGAGTGCACCACCCTTAATGACCAGATCTGTCTGCCACCGTTGAGTTTGGAACAAATCTTCTTACAGGAGTGATTTTCATATTGTTCTAAATTCAGTGGAACAAAGTATGTATTTTTACACTAAAGAAAACTGATCAAAGTGGCATTTAATAATATTTGTTAAAGTGGTTATCTAACAAAAATGGGTTAACAAAAGCCCATTCATTAGTAGTCACCAAATAAGACACTTCTCATGCATATGACAAAAGTTCATTCGTGTACTGAGACGTCTGTTTACTGTGTACAATATTTCCATAAATTATAATATGTTTCACAGCCCCTACCATTCAAGAATATTTCAAACAGATTATATATTATATTTGTATATGCAAACTATTTTATATACACTAATATAAAGATCCTTAGAAGTACCAATATCACTACCTTTATGCTTTCTCTAAAATGCATAGCTTTCGAATATCTTCTTGCAGGTACCAAAAACTTTACAGATTAAAGCTGCTTATCAATGTGGCATGTTCATAAAAACAAAGCGAAATAGTTCTAGACTAATTTTATATTAAACCCCCTTAAAAAACGTGTTTATTTTTTAATGGAAAAAAACCAACAAGCTAGTGAAAATTCAAGTAAATCTACGCTCAGTCGCTGCCCAAATACTCTATGGAATTAACTTAGCATTCTAGGAGTACAGTGAACTTCTCACCCAGGGCTGTAATACTGCATTTCTCATGGAGAAAAATGCTAGTCATGCCACAAAACCGCACCACTTTCCACTTCACCCGGGAGAAGCTTGACATGAGACTCAACAACACAAGTGTCAGAACAGAGGAAAAGCTGATCAGTTCTATATGAAGAAAGTAGAGCTATTCCAGTTTTGTTTCTGCAGTTTTGTTATTAAACAAAGTTACATTAACCATACAGTTTCTCACAAACTAAAAGTTATACATGGTTTTCAGACATCAACCGACTTCAAAAAGAAAAAAAAAAAAATTAAAAAAAAAACCCCAAAACAACCAAACCCACAACTGTTAAAAGTTTGGTGTTAGAATAACCAGCCTGGGTGAAGGAAAGCCAGGCTGCTGCTGTAGCTGGGGGGCTACTGACAGCTTGTTTGTTACATATAAACTTTAAGACCTCCATACCACAAATGCCTCAAAGTGGAGAACAGAACGATCGGTAAGAAATGGGAACAAATGATTTTGTTGCATCCATCATCTCGC